AGGAATGGGTGGGAATGATGGGAGGAAAAGAGTGCAGGTCAGTTTTCTCCCAAGGAAGATATGCAGACCCTCCCAAGTAAATCCTACAGGCCAGAAGGTGCTCACCTGTCCACACCTAGCTTCAAAGGAGGCCGGGAAGTGGCGTCTTCATTATGGGTGTCTGTGTCTCCAGGTAACCCCTGCTGAGTGCGGAAGGCTCAGAGGAGAGGTAATAGTGTCTCGCACAGGTATTTCTCTCATTTATAGATGGGGAGACACAGGTGTGGGAAGCTGCGTAATTGGCATACATGTTACAACAGAGTCGTTGGCAAAGTTGGATTTGTGGCCACGCCGTGTGCTTTGAGTCTGGCCCTCCATGAATGGGAACTACTTCTTCTTCTTCTCCTTCTCCTCCTTCTTCTTCTCTTCTCCTTCCCTCCTCCTCCTTCTTCATTTTCAGAGAGTGAAGGAAATGGAGTGAGTCCACAGACAGCGAATGTGTAGTGAGAACGGGTGAGCAGACAGAGACCCTGATAAAGTCCCGCTGGGATTCGGACAGGCCCACGGCGATTGTTGGAGAGCCTTGAACGATGGGGGATTTCAACATACAGAGGCAAAGAGCAAGAGGCAGGGCGTTTAGCATGCATCGTGTACCCATTTTGTACTGGGGTTGATATTTCTCTTCCCCAATGATTGGTTTGTTTCTACAGCGGAGAGTTAGTCAAAGGGAGTGTTTTTTGTTCTGACATTCAGCCATCAGTTGGGGGAGCTAGGATTGCTGGAAATCCTGCCTGGATTTGAGGCAGATGCTCTTAGCTAGAGCCCTTAGCTGCGTCCTCATTTGTGCTACTGTTCTCATCTGGGGTTCCAGCCAGGAAGCAGTCGGACCTGTAATCCACTGGCTCAGTGCTGGACCGTTCAGGGTCTGGGCTAAGGTGAACAGGTGGGATTGAGCCTGGGGGGTCAAGAAGAACGAGGTGTGGGTCCACGGTGAGTGCGTACTGAGTTAGAAGATGCTGGTGCCCCCGGGCGGCTCCAGGTGGGACCCCCGATGTAACATTTCTGGGTCTAAGAAGGGAACGGGGGCGTTGGTGTAGGGTGGATGGGTGAGGATAGGGGAGCAGACGGTGTGCTGTTTGAGGTGTATCTTGGAAGCAGGGAGGTCACTGTGGGCTTGGGGGTCGTGGGACGGATTTGCAGACATCAGTAGATGGCGTCCGCATTCCTGAGGGGGCACTCCTGGGGTCCCTCGGGTGTGGGCCCCCAGCGGTGCAAAAACAAAGCGTTATTGAAACAGTTCTTGAAGAACTTCAAGATGGCGGTGTAGCAGGAAACCCTGCCAGACGGAAAAGCCACAGTGTCTGTGTGCGCCTTGCATGATATATATACACGGAGTCCTCCAAGCGTCCAAAGTACATCTTGCCAGGCCTAGCAGTCCGACGGCATTCATCACGGGAAGCCTGGGTCCGAGTGATGAATTAAGAATCAGTGTGCTGAAGCCACTTACATTTAACTGTCCATGCTCTTTAGGAATCCTTCGGGGGGTGGGGAGTGTCTTAAGACGTGTATGACAGTGAAGGGATTTAAGAGCAGAGGGAATCCACTGCGTGTCTTGCTTGGACGGATGCTTTATGTTCACAGCTCACTCGTACGTGGTCTTCACTGTGCACCCCCTCTGGGTAGCAGCGGGGTTTTGAGGGCCCTCAAAGCAATGTCACGAGGCAGGGACTGTGATTATGCTGACTTCACGGAAGGGGAGAGTGGGACACAGAGAGGGTCACAGCCGTGCCCAGCATCATACAGCTGGGATACAGTGGGGCTGAGAGTAGAACCCACGCTGTCCGTCACAGCCGGGGTTCAAGCTGATCATACGACATGAGCCACGGAAACAGGAAACACGTTCTGTTTTCAAGGAGGCTCTGCAGAGGTGAGAAGAACAGTCTTTCTTTAGAGTACAGTGGAATTTTAACAAGAGAAAAAATGTATTTAAAAGAAAACATTTTTCTAGTATATGGAGAAATGTAGGATGAAATATGTTATCAAAATAATTTTGGGAGATAGGACGGAATATAGCTGTTAGCATTATAAGGTGACCAGATCCTTCCTATTTTATCACACACCTGGGATGTAGTGTTTTCCTTTGAAATGGCAGCTCTGAAGATGTGGATTCCTGGGTTCCTGGTGAATAATGAATGGAACGGGGTCCGTGTCTTGTGAGCCTACGTGCAATAAAATGTATTCCCATTGCTCTAAGTGGAGCAAATCCAAAATGGTCCAAAGAAATAGCACAGAGAATAAGCGATCTTTTTGCAAAAATGTTGAAATTTCAGATCAGAAAATAAAAAGGCACATACCACATAGAGCATACCGAACAAGCAAAGAATCAGAAAAATGAATTCTTCACTGTACACTTGTCCGGGCTGGGTAGCGATCCCCCGCTGCTCCCGGGTGAGGATGCTGGAGATTTCCTGCCCAGCCTTTAAGTCAGTTCTGCAGTTCACATCCGGGCAGGCCTGAGCGAAGGTGGTCATCATGGGACTCTGTGTGCATGGTTTTCAAAAGCAAGCGGGGAGCACGGGCCCTTAAAATGAATTTGTTCGGGAGCCTGCATTCTCTGGGGGTTTTAAACACACCGAGACTTGACTCGAATGTCAGGTTGGAAACGCCCTCTGGATCGGCAGCTGCCCGAGGGGATTCCTGCACACATCTGTCTGTAACAGCCTTGGCCCTCATGACCCTGACCGGGGATGCGTTCTCAGTGGCTGTGGCCTGGGTAGCCGGAAAGAGCCCTAAAGGAAATCGGTCACACTTGTGAGGACACGGGGAAAAGAGGAGTGGATGGAGAGAACGTTCAGGAAAGCCATGTGCTTTTGAAAAAGTCTGGTGGAGAGGGTGCTCAGGGAACGGTGTCTGCAGCCTGGCGTGTCTGCCTGACTTCATCGTTAAAAGGCAGGTGTGCTGAGCACCTGGGAGGTGAGACAGGTGTGGGGTGGTCTCTCCCGGCATCAGTGAGGCTAAGACGGGAGGCGTCCTGATACGGATGCCCCGTAATGTATTCATTTCTAGCACATGCACAGGGCTTGCCCTGTGGTTCCTACGTCTCCCACCTGCCCCCCAAAACCACAGAGAGGCTCACGTTCCCTTGCATACGCTCATCTGAGGTCAGGGGCTGCTCGGACACAACGCGGACGCCCACTACAGTTGTGTTAAGTTGCTTCCGTTGGTTTATTTTGTATTGGCCTTGGTTGGTCACTAAATATGCACCAGAATATATGCAGATTATGGAAGTGGATTAATAAATGCATATGGGATGCCACACAGTGGGAAGGTCTTCAGGGCTTTACATTAAAAGCGCTGTAAGGAAAACGCAAAGGAGGACATTCTCGTTCTGCATCTGATTGCAGTAGGTCAGTAGCTGCTAATTCTTTCGCTACCTGCCACTTTTTTCACGAAGGAAGCCACTTGCTGAGCTCTCTCAGAGGCTGTTTGATGAGCACTCAGCCCCTCACAGACTCAGAACATTCTGGAATAAACAGGGAATCCGTTTTCTGATAACAATTTTTTGTAAAGCAGTTTTTTCCTGAAAATTTTAATACTTGGGGAGTATAACGGAACACAGACTTGATGTTCAAAGAACTTAATTTTTAGGGGCACCTGGGTGCCTCTGTTGGCTAAGCATCTGACTCTTGATTTCCGCTGACTCTTGAACTCAGGTTCATGTGTTCAAGCCCCGCACAGGCATTAAAACAAAAAAACAAAAAACTTAATTTTTAAATGATGTAACCATCCTACTCTGGGGTCAATGAATTCTCCTAATTTGGCATTTTTAACAGCTTTACTAAGAAATAACTTATGCACCCTAAAATTTCAATTCCACAGTTTTTAGCAAATGTGTGGAGCTGTGCACACCCAGCCCCAATCTAATCTAAGAACATTCCTTTCTGCTGCCCATTTGCGGTCCCTCCCCATCCTCGCTAGCAGGCTCATTTAATTCTTGATTTGCTGCTTTCAGGCTTTCTCAGAGCAGAGAAAATAAAATGTTCACCGAGGTCTTCGCGTGTTTAAGATTGTGTGTGATGGCCGTGTGTGTGCATGTGTGTGTGTGTGTGTGCTTTTCGCATCTCTTCTGTACATGTCAGCAGGGAGCTTCCTCCCTCTTCC